GTTCTCACTGAGATAGACCGTGGCATCGTCTTTCTTTCCTTAGAGCCACGCGCGGCGGGTAAAACGCTGAAAAAGGTAAAATCACGCGTGTAACTCAAAAGAAAAATAAGAGACTAGTACTGACTCATTACTGAAACGATTTCCCCCCTGCCAAAGAATGCAAAAAGTCCAGTTCCGGTCGACGTGCATTGCTTGGGCCCGGAGAGGGACTGGAGCTACTGTGAGAAACAAAATGGCAGACGGACTAAAGCGCTACACGGATCAAAGGACAAATCCTTGCATTGCGGAATCACAAGCGTCCATGAAATGTTTAGATGAAAACAACTACGACAAGACCAAGTGCAAAATGTATTTTGAAGCGTATAAGGAGTGCAAGAAAGCTTGGAACGAAAGAAAGGCTGTTAGGAGAAGACAAGGGCTCCCTCCAAATGACCCGGCGGCTGTGTAGACTTGTACTTTATAATCGTCAGAGCAGCTTCAGAACAATCTCCGAAAGGCAAATGAACATCGACATTGAGATGGAGATAAGCGAAAGGAAAAATGAACTGCGGGCCGATTTGAGAAGGAAGACAATGAAGGGTACTGGAACCTCAGCTTCTGTTGTTTTCTAAATTATCGAAAAGGCGATTCTTTTGGTGTATTCCCTCTTACAGTGAGATAGGGAATGTAAGGGTCTTTAATTTTGTAAAATTTGACATATGATACCCAGTATATTTTGAGGTCACTGAAGAACAAAAATATTTATTTACAAAAACATTGTTACCTAAGCTTAAATAAAGCAGGCTCTGAACTGAAATTTGTATGGATATACGGAAAGGTTTTCTTATGTAATAAATTTTTTTACAAATTGCCTCTACTATCGTGAGATCCTGGTTCAGGGCTGCAAATAACAGTCGCTCATCCGATATTGGCCAACCAAAATTTGCTAGTGTCCGACAAGATCTCACCTGTGTTTGGACATTATGTGGGGAGAATTTTTTTGTCGTAAATCATTTTACGGTAAGGAAGAATGAAAATTTACCTTGAGTAAATCTTACATTTTGTTAGGAAGATCTCAAAGTCATGAAACAACATTGACTTGGGTAAATGAAGTTTTCTTTTACATTAGCGCAGTATGTCCTCTGTTCCACCCGATATAAAGTTCAACCTTTTTTTGGTGATTTCCAACCAAAATTTTGTTTTGTCCGACCAAGATGGTGTTTTAGTAGGACATATGTCCTGTCAAAAGAAAAATATTATTTGCAGCCCTGCTGGTTAGTACAATCAGCCAAAGGTCTTTTTTCTATGTACCCAATGGATAACTGATTGTTCATTTAATTTTTATTCACTAGATACAATGATTTTTTTTAGTGTACACCGCAGCTATATTCTCCCCTTGGACGGCAAGAGCCAGGTGAACAGAAATAGCTTTCAGTCATCTGTGCTATTTGTAAGGCAAAGCAAGGCTGTGCTCTTGCAGAGCCCAGTGGCCCCTGGCGGCACCCTTGCCAGGCACCCTGGATTTTAGAGGTTCTGAGCACTGGGCTCCTTTCACTTTTTCTTAGAGCACAGCTTTGCTAAGAAAGTACCTTTTCCCTTAGTTATTCTAGACCCTGAGCTGTGGTCTGGCCTCTGGAATCGAACCTGCAACCTCCCATTCTGCAGGCTTTGTTACTAGCTCCCTTAGAGACGTCCAACAAATTACACATGTGCAGAGAGCCTTGTCCCATCATCCTTCCATTATGGTCACTGAAACTTTGATGTAGACTGCGAGCAATCTCTCTCTCTTTTTCTTCAGAGTAAGTAAGGGGAGTGCATGCGTGCACGACCGTCGAGTGGAGGCATTTGCATGTCTCGATGGACTAAGACAAAACAGAGACTGCTGGTAGTCTACTTCTGATGTTCAGGACTTCCAAACAAAAATGAAACCCCTCTTTGGGAAGCTAGAACAGCACAATAGTTGTTTCTGTTTGATTATCAGGATCCGATAATTGCCCAGAAATAATCAGAGAATTGAAGGCAGTGCCAAGCTAATTTTTCAAAGAATTTGCTGAGAAGGAAAACAGAACCATCATCCTAAAGAAATAACTGACAGAATTCCATCTTGCCTAAAAAAAAAGGAAAAGCATTTTTAAAGCCCCCAGTAAAAAATTTTGTCAGAAATCTGTGGTCTCTGTTTCTGAAACAGAATCTCCACACATCTACCTCTTCCTTTTGCAGAGATGGGGTATAAAGGTGACACGTACATGCATTTTCTTTTTTCTCTGCTATTTTTTTTTATTAATATCAGTTGAGAGCCCCAATACAAAGTCCTGCGGTTTTATCCATGGGGGAGTGCGTAACATCGCTGTGACACGTACGATGTAAACATGGCGGCCCTCTTGCAATCTACTGCATCTTCAAGGATCGATATTGTCTGATATTTCTCGCTAAAGGTAACAAACGTTGCTTACTCACAGAAGATTCTTCAGGAATGGGATTTTTTTAAGTGTAGAAAGGAAGAGGGTTATTAGTTTCCAGGGTAAGTTATGCATATCACACGAATCTTAGCAGTTAGCCAATAATCGAATGCGCCTTCACGTTTAAATCAGCCTGACCTTAGATCTCAGGTTCGACGTTGTCTTGAATGTTTAGAAAGCACTTTTTTGGAAATTGTTGTCTCAATAGTATTCCCTTGGCGCTGGTGGGATTTTTGTTTTATTTAACTGAGTGGTCATTTCGTTGTCAATAGCTTGCTGACGTTGGAATGCGTTCAAGCTTTTGATAGTATCTCTTCAAAAGGTTTCCACCAGGCTTATGGTATTCGACGAAACGAAACGAAACGAAACAATTGGTAATGGACGAAACGAAACGAAACGAAACAATTGGAAATGGACGAAACGAAACAATCTTTGACCTTAGAAAAAAGTGGTAATTGTTCTTCTGCAGCTCCTAACACTTTGGACACGATAGCAGTTTTGTTTCGCTAAATACGAACGCCTGAGGCTCCGTAGTTGACGAAGATCCCAAATTTTTTTCATAAAATATGCCCTGTCAGATAAAGCAGACATTGCTACATCAAACGGGGAAAATACTCAGCTCCTAAACAATTCTTCTTCTTCTTTTTGTTTCACAAAATATTAAAGGGGGCTCAGTTGGTAATTGACTAAACAATGATCTCAAATTCTTATCATAAATGGCCTTGTTCTGAAGTATGGTCTGTCCGGTAAAGCGAACATTGCTGTGTCAAACGGGGTAAATATAAGTAATTTTGGTCACGATAGTCTTCTTGCTTCACTAAATACCAATTCCGGGGGTTTAGTTGGTAAATGATGAAAAATGCTCTCAAATTCTTTACATAACTGGCCTTGTTCTGAAATAGTGCCCTATCAGAACAAGGAAACCAAGAAGGGAAAGAAGACTCGTAACCTACTGCTGACAACGCCTACTCTTCCCAGATACTTTAAGAAAACTGCGCGCCTTTCTGCACGACCTCGACCCTCGACCGAGGGTGGCTCAGTCAACAAAGAAAACCCGCAACAAACGTTTTCTGTTGTTGTTGTAGTTTGGATATCGATAACAGTGTTACCCGTTAAAATTGTAAACCTAAAGAATGATCATTCTCGCGTGAAAACGAACTAAAATCTTCAAATTAAATTTCAGTTAATTTGACTGAGCCACCCCCGGTGGAGGGAAATTTGACCTCGGACCAACGCCGTGTCTAGTTGCCGTATCACAGTGTCCGGGGACAGAAGGTATTTGGACATGGCTCGAGGAAATGTTCCAGTGACATGCGTCGCTTTTAAACGTTTGCTGCGGTGTAGCGATGATAGAAGTTTGCCTCTGGTCAAAAAAATCTGCGATTCGATGGGTTTTCGGGCCGCACCCGCCTTTGAATAGACAAGGTCCAGACCGCCAGCTGTTTTCTGTATTATGGAGAGAGTGACAGGGGTCAAACAATAACAGCCAAAAAAACGACCAAATCGCTGATTTCAAACCAAAAAACACAGGAATACATCAAAAGTAAGTGTCCTTTATTTATTTTTTAGAAAAATAAGTAAGAATAATGATATTTAGCGTTCGGAGATCTCAGTACTGTATTTCTCATTCAAAGTCTCAACGGTTGTTTGTAACGCGACACCGACTCTCTTGTGAGAAAGTTAATTTACATAACAAACTCGTGACACCTGTGATTTTCACAAGTTACAGTACTCGTTTCGTTTCGTTTTGTTTCGTCGATTACCAATTGTTTCGTTTCGTTTCATTTCATTTCGTTTCGTTTCGTCGAATACCATAAGCCTTTCCACCACAGCGAGCTTTCCTTCCAGGAAATATGAAAGATATAAATACAACATGAATAATTATTGCCAAGTGTTCTTAGTATCAATTTGACGTTAAAACATCTTGCAAGTATCATTTTTTGGTGGTACAATTGTGATGCTTACTTTTGTTTGAGTGCTTGTTTGGTAAATAATTTATGTAACAAGTTCATCGGATATACTGTCTATTGAGAGATATAAATGTAACTTCGCTCCTGACTATGTTTTAAGTGCTAAAACAATGAATGGTAATTCAGGTAATCTTACCATTTCCACAGTCACATGATTGGTTCTGCAGTACTTTTAATTGAATAAGGTATTGATAAGTTAGTGATTTTTCTTGTTTGTTATTCAAATGTGCCAACCACTGAAACAAAAGAACTCATTTTCTCAACAGCTAATGAGTCTGTTGTTAGCTTATTAATATTGATAGGTGACGTAATGCGAACTGTCGCCATTAGACGTCTTTAGATTCAAGGATGAGGATAACTACAAGGAGAAGTTTTAACTTTAATTTTTTTTGTGCACTCTCAAAAATTGTCACCCTGGGAAGCTTCACTGTACTTTTTTCACCAGAAATTTGAAGGAGGTGAAGCCCCCTCCTGAGCGCGAAATTATAACCTGTCTCCGCCACTACAATTTTCTTACTAAAACTGTTGTAGAACACTTATTTTTTTGTTGAATTCAGTAACATGCTATTAAATTTTTAGATTAAAACTCACCATGTCATGGTTTACTGAGCTTGCGGGCAAAGCAGAGTCACTTTTGGAGAAAGTTGACAATGTTGCAGCCACAGCATTGACAAAGGAGCAAGCTGACATTCAAAATGTTGGACTAAACAGCAGTGGTACCACACCTTTACCATCTGTGACCCCTGCTTCTACTCAAAGAACAAGTTCTGTACCACCCAGTGGACAACAGGGAAATATTACGAGATCAGCAAGTGACACTAGTGTTTTAGGTTTGTATATTCAGTGATTCACAGTTCACATGATAGACAACAGGCATGGATGGTCTTCTTGTACTTATGGACTGTTCATATGATGCCAAAATGACTTTCACTCCAGAGTGAGTTTCATTCCAGAGTGAGGTTTGTACTGCATTCACCTGATAAAATGGAATGGCTCAGCCTGAGGAGTTCTTGCTCGCACCAGATCAGATATGGGTGTAGAACATGTCTCAGACCACACGATTTTCAGTCAGTCTGGAACAAAGTTCGTGTTCAGTTTACATTGTACCAGAATGAAATTTGGTAAAAAAAAAATGCTCGTTTACCCACGAAGCACGTAGGAGTTCATATGAACTCGTTTAAATGTGTCCATGCGTTCCAGATCGAATTGAAATTTGGAAGTGTTAGTTTTTGAGGAGAGGGGAAAACTGGAGTACCCAGAGAAAAGCCTCAAAGAGCAAGGGAGAGAACCAACAACAAACTCAACCCACATATGGTGTCGACACTGAGATTTGAACCCGGGCCACATTGGTGGAAGGCGAGCGCTCTCACCACTGGGCCACCCTTGTTCCCCAGAAGGGGAGAACGAATTTCAATTCAGATTGAAAACTGGAATGGACTCATACCAGAATAACTTATACTGGAATGAAATGTCAGTTCGATATCATGTAAACAAATACAGAGAAATATATGGAGATGGAATGAACTTGTTCCAGAATGAAAATCATTTCCCCGCAAAATAACGTCTGAGAAACAAGTGCAGAAATTCCATACTGATGATCTGGGAAGTGGTTCTGGTTGGTTGAAGCAAATTTTCAGCCAATCAGAAGCACTACCCAGGTCTGGGTTGTGATGGTCATTAGTATAGAATTTCTGCACTCGTTTCTCAGATGTCGTTTTGTGGGAAAACCAGTGGTTGGGTTGTGAAATGTCAGCTGTTTTCTGAAGCTACTAGTAACTAGTTTCTTTCTGCACTCAGGTGGGCCCACAGTTCCCATCAAGTCTCGTCTCCCTCCTTCTGGTACCAGGACACCCCCTAGGGTGGCACGAACAGAAAACAAAAGTGATGATAAATTATTTGAGTTCCTGAACAGCAACATTCCTGCCACGAAAGAACGAAAAGTGATCAAGCCAAAGGTGTCTGGGGAAAGCTCTTCAGAAGCAGTGTCAAAACCCATTAGTAATATGGAGGAGACCCAAGTTGAATCCATAGATGGGAAACTTAACGAGGGTGAGCTGATACACTTGCTACTCTGATGCCCTCAAAATTTTTATTTTATCCCTCATTTAGAATTGTAGCGTGTGGAGATTCTCTGCTGTAATTTTTCAAGAACCATGAAGTTTTTAGTAGTATATCACATGAAAAGAAATATCCATTTTTTATCATGATATAGTGTTTAGGGTTGCAAAATCTTCATTAAACTCTTTAACAGTAGATGAGGTTAAGTGTAGGTGCCNATTTAGAATTGTAGCGTGTGGAGATTCTCTGCTGTAATTTTTCAAGAACCATGAAGTTTTTAGTAGTATATCACATGAAAAGAAATATCCATTTTTATCATGATATAGTGTTTAGGGTTGCAAAATCTTCATTAAACTCTTTAACAGTAGATGAGGTTAAGTGTAGGTGCCCTAGAGGATGGTGATGCCAGGTGTATAAGAGATGAACAGAATATATCCATGGCAACTAGTGAGTGGTAACCATCAAAACTCATCCCGACAGGCTCTTCTAACTGATGAATGATGCTAAATGAGTTAAAAGCCAGTGTAGTGATAAGATTTTAGGGAAGTTAAGCATGGTGGGAATCTGGATTGCAAGTTACATGTATCTTGCTACCCTGATTGGGGGTTTTCTATTTCTAGGTTACAGTATTCCATGGCTAAATATTATTTTGTTATTAGGAACTGTTGCAAAAACTGATGATAAGGCTCATGAGGTCAGTGCTGTTTCTAACGGTCCAAGTGTGGAAGAGCCCAAGTCACAAGAAATGCCTCAGCATGATGTTGTTGCAATAAACAGTGGCCACCACACAGATGATCACCATATGTCTAACCTTGAGCTAGAAAACACATTACTGAGAAAAGAGGTGGCTTCTTTGAATGAAGAAATGGTGTCTGTAGTGCAGAGGGCAAAAGAAGCTGAAAAAAGTAAGTATCAGTCATATTGCACCATGAAAGAGCAGAAGCCAAATCTTCCATGATCAACAACTCATTGCTATGCAGGGATTTTGCTAAGAACCGGCTCCCAGCTAATTTCACTGGCTGGAGAGGAGCTTACCACTGGCTTTAATTGCAACGGAAAACAAAGACATGAGGGAATTTAGAGATGCGGTTGAGAAAAAAAGCCAGCATGACTAACAAAAAAGCCAGCTTATCTTCTCCTTAGCTACATCCCTGACTGTCTGTGAGGTGGTTAAGGCAACAGACTCTTCACATCCTCTATATTTCCTCAAACAAACCAGAAGGAATGTAACAAATAGCAAGCAACACAAGCATGAGATGGGAGGGAGGGTAAAAAGTGGACAAGCAGGCAATACTATAGGCAATGAATTTTGGAGGCTTCTTTTTTTACTTGCTGCCCATTTTTATATACCACTTATTAACCGAGAGTGAGGTCATAACTGCACAAGGAATTCTCAGACAGAGGTATCGCTTTGTCAATACATCGAGGCCAAGGTCTGAGATTTCGCTGTAGTGACTGATCGGACAAGGTTAATAAGTTATTTATTATATGGCCATTTCTTTATTGACCTGAGCCTGTGGTCAACTAAAAACCAATAACTGGTCAGCAGAAAACTTTAAAAAAACAAGTCACCTCAGTGAGGTGTGCACTTGAGCCCGTGATACAGCCCTGTCCCACTGGTCAGCCGGTACCCTTTTGACAGCTGTCAATCGACCATAACATTGATGTCCACTGTCAAGTTGAACACAGATTGTATATGCCTTGGACACTTTACAGTGTCCTTAGTATTGCCCAGTCATTACAAAAAAATAATGCCCACTTAGCAGCTAATCAGAGCATGTGTACTATTGAAGCCATCTAATAAAGTAGCTCTCTCTGCTGTTGACCCAGTCAGTCCTGAGTAAACCTGACAGTGTAAATTTTGTTTTAAGACGACTTCAAGAAAGGTTAAGGTAAAGGTTAAGTAATTCATTAATACTTTTATTTTTTGTCTCAAAATCAGGAACAAAAGAAACAGAGAAACATCTTCAAAGATGCCAGGGACAACTGTTAGCTTCTGAGGAAATTACCAGACAGCTGAGGTCAAAGGAAGATGATTTTACAGAGGCACTAAATGCTAAGGACTCACAGTTGGCAGTCTTGCGCGTTAGAGTACAGGAATCAGATCAGGAGTTGCAGAGCAAGCGTAAGCAGATTGAGGAGTACCAACTTGAAAGGGAAAGGTCAGAAGTGTAAAGTACTCATTATTGTAACAGGCTAGCCATTTGTAAAGTGCATGCGCAGGATTGCAAAGTGCCTTCTTACTCGGGTGACTTGAACTGACCAACAATACAGTTAATACGGACACTGACGGGACCATGAAAAGTGTCCGCATTAACGGGGAGGCCGTATTAAGCTGGTCATGTCATTAAAGTAAAAAAAAAAAACACCTTTTATTAGAACGAAATACCAAAGAAATAAAAGAGGACTTAAGCATTGTCAAATTAAACATCTGTAACCTTCACAAAGCCGTCATTATGCGGCTTAAGTCCACGGAAACACTTGAAAATCGCCCATTTATTTAGTACTTGCTCGAAACCATTCTCTGCAAAATTCCTTTGGTGCCAAAAATTGACTTCTACAAATCATCGGTATCTGGTGTATCATAGCGCAGGGAACGTGGGCATGCTCTCAACTGAAGGTTTTTTCCCTTCAAAAAGGAAAGGTCTATTACAGGATACAGTTGATAATGAAGTGTCTGCATTAGCGATGCTTTCTTTCTGTGAGAATTTGTTGATTGGGCAAGAAGCAAGTGTCTGTTGTCTGCATTAACTTGTATCCGTATAAGCGGGTTGAAATGAGAGCAAATGTAAAGGCTTTCCCCAAGGACAAACAAAACTGTCTGTAATTGTGATTACAGACAAAAGCAAGGTTGGACTGTACTAGCATCTGCCAGTGCCACTTTGTTAAGTTAACTCTTCCATAGTTTTTTCAACGTTTGATAAAGATCAATTACCGAATATCCTGACCATGAACACTGCTGGAAAGGCAGCCACAAAGTAATGTAACCTACCAAGTTTAAAGGAGAGACGTCCAAAGAGAGTGAATATATTGCTCCATAAGGTCATGGAATTTTACAGACGTTTGTATGTTTGGGGGCACGAGCTTCCCTTCCTACCACCACCATACTTCAGGCGTTGCTCGGCAGAGCCATTGCACTCCGGCTCTGTTAAGTATCGTGATGTCGTTCGGCCATTGCACTGACCATTGCACTACTGGGTCCGTGGCCGTGGGCACCTGAAAAAGAAAAACAAAACAATATAAACGTAACGTCTGTAAAATTCTGCGACGTTTTGTAGTTATATCTTCGAGTTCATTAGCTTCTAACAAATCACTTTTAAATTTGGCAGCTTAACGTATTTTAAGGCATTCTTTGCAGCCATGTTGATGGATTTTTGCTTAGTGATCCCATTCAAAAATTGAAAAAGGCCATGAA